TGTTTATATTTATATAAACGGCCGGTACATATATACTCTATAGGGATTAAGTAGCCGTCGTTACTCGATACGGAATTGTTAATGTATTTTACGATTATCGTTTATGTTTTCCCTGCCGTTGTTTTTTCCGATTGAGTTTTTGTGGATCCGGAAACAGCCCAGTTGTCCGTTATTTATTGAGTGCTTTCCTTTGCACCTACTGCTTACACCTCGCACTCGTACCTAGCCTTATTTTATGAATGCCCTAAAAGGCCTTCACTATCCTAGCCATGGTCGCAGATTTTTCCTAGCACTCGGTATTCACTCACTTTCCCTAACGTTCTTCCACGGAATTTGTTCATAACGACCTGGGTTTATTACAGAAACGTTTTGTTTTAAACACCGTAGAGGTCTGCTCTAAGTGAACAGTGATAAGATGCCTCTAGCGGTTATGGATCTTTTACCCGCCTAGTAGCAGAGTGTGAATGATAGCGGATCTGTGGCGTCTGTCCACAGGGCGTGTTAGCTATCGGCCAGTGTGATGGGACGTCTATAATCGTCGAAGTACGTTTTTTTTTTTCTCGGGCATAATATGCTCGAACCCACAAATATACACAAGGCGCACCAATTACACTGAGACTATTTTTGCCGGTTTTCCTTCGCCACTGACCAATACTATTAGATTAGAGCTTTAAGATTAAGATTTCAAAGAGAATGTAGCTATGCCTGCATCCATGACCGAACGCAATGCTTCGTTATATCAACTTTGCCTAAGACAAGTGATTAGTCAAATTCTTCTCGTGCAATATCGAGAAGATAAGCTTTGTTCATTCAACACCGCATTTCATCCAAAAATAAAGATGCAATTACAGAAGAAGAAACCAATCCTACAATGTCAAATTAGCAGAAATCTGCGGCGCACAAAACCCAGAATTATTATTATTATTGTGGTTCGATTGGGCCGTTGTTATACGAGTGTGGGGCTGATACCCGTCATCTAACACCTAAGAGATAGCTGTTTTCCAAAGACAGTAACCGGTATTTCCTTCTTCTCAGTCCTCTCAAAAGAAATTTGCCTTGTATTCTTTCCTAACGGGAACTACTATTTTTGTTAGATGAAGGAATCGAGAGGATATGGCTATTGTAGCGAACTGTCCCGAGTACGGTGGAAAGTATATAGGATATATAGGAATATAGGCACCACGTTCACCGTAAAAGCGAACGCATCATTGAAGATGTTATTTTACGGAATTACGAAGGGAACTTTTTGCTAGTGATTTAGAAATATGGCCGAGGTTACACTGAACAGGCGTAATCGTAAGAGATGATATTACTAGTTTATAAGGCACGATAAATGACACCATTACTAAAGTAAATAATTATAATGACAGTCATGCAGTGTGCAACTTCTAAGTTTGCCTAATTATATTGATTAATTCGTCTTTGATTTCAGTATTGTTCATGTTGGGTAGCCCGTTTTATCGGAAGACTCCCCCGGGTGACAACGTTATCGTCAAATTAGGTGGTTGTATATCGCACGCCATTGCCAACAAGTTTTTTAGAGCTACGGATACAAGGGAACATTGGCTGGATTACGCAGACGACATATACGATGTAAGCTACAGCGCAATTTCACAAATAATGCCTCGTTAAGCTTTCATTTTAAAATGGAATTGAAACCTTAAAATAGTGAAATTTAGATATTTAGTGATAAAATTTTACTGCTAACGGACATTCAGATCTAATACGATTCCGTAGAGCTAAATGATCTTATTTCGAAAACAAAGGTCATGAGAAGTGCTGAAAAAGAAAGCCAAAGAAGTGGCCGACACTAGAGAATCAGTATATCGTTATTAGTAGTAGTAAATTTGAATCACTGTAATAATTAATAGCTCGTTCGCTTAATAATGAGACAATGATCTGGCAATATGAAACATATATATATATATATATATATAGAAGACTAAGGTCTTCTTTATCCGCTACGATTGATTACAGCAAAAGTTTATCGAGGAGGTAAAATCCGTCTGCCGGGTAATGGTCATCTATATTCCCGTGCCCATTTTCTGGGCCTTGTTCGATCAGCAGGGCTCAAGCTGGACGTTGCAAGCCACGCGAATGCGCTGGCAAGTGTTCGGATTTCGGTTATTACCCGATCAGATCCAGCTGTTGAACCCACTTCTTATCCTCATACTTGCCCCGCTATTCGGATATGTACTTTATCCGATGTGCAAGAATTGTGGCTTACTTACCAAGTACGTATGTTATCGAAGCAGAAGGCTTATTTAACGGGAAAAACTAAAATAGGGCGCAGCCTTTTGGGTCTGTCTGTATAATATCAAGTTTCGAAAAATAACAATCGGTCCCTGCGCGTGGAACCAGTGTGGCAATTTTGTAAAAACACGACCAAACGATACAATCCTGCTGTACAATGGCTTCAAACACATTTTACGCTTTAGGATACCATATACAATAGTAACTGCTGTAATCATAATGAGCATTTAATGCTCTTATTAAATATGTGTTTGTGTGTTAGTACAAGTTTATACGTGTTCGCCTTGAAACGTCGACTTTTCTGCAAAATAAACAAAGCAAGTATGATTAAATCTATGTTCCTTAACTTATCTTCCTAAGTTATTCTTCTGATATTCGTAATGCTAATAATACGTAACAAATGACTTACCGTAAAGTTCGTCAGCTTTTAATAGGACTATTTTGGAGAATTTGTGCATCAGCCAAGTTACTACTATAATCTTTAGAGCCTACTTATTAGTACCTAATATTGATACTACCTTTTTTTCAATTAATAAGACTAAGTAAGTAACTGCGAGCTCAATGAGGTTCTCATCTTGCCATTAATAATGATTTTAAGTTTATACCCCAAGCGCGAGGCGGATGACTAAGTGCCCGTAATAGGAAATCGTTCCTCTTGTTTTTTGCTTTTTATAAAATGTATAGACTCATAGTTACTAGTCAAACCTGACAGGTTTGTATATGTATTAAAAAGACGATGCAGAAGGTAGACAATAGCGACGATGTCCGTAAGAGAGACACAGTTTGGCGGGGAGCCCCCAAGCAACTGGTGTTTGATAGATTCTTGTGATTATTTGACCCACCATAAACAAGGTCATGAAGGGAACAGAGTCATGCGATATACTTTATATTAAAGAATACAACGCTTTTTTTGTCCATTATCTCGATAGTGTTAGGCAGTTGAAACTGTAGAACGTGATATAACCCACGTAATTGCAGCACATGCTGTAGGACTCGACAGATCATACATTGTTGGATGTCATGTCTAAAGCACTATGATCCCGACTAAAATAAATAATTTCATTTTTATTTATAGAAATGTTATTCTAGGAGTTCTCATTTGATCGATTCAGTTTGGCACTATTTGTTTATGCAGGAATAAGCATGTTTGTCGTTAAACGAAGCATTTAAAACCGATATTTTTGGTTTACTGCAGGCCTTTGCAGAAAATGATCGTAGGCGGTGTCTTGGCCGCTGCATCGTTTATCGTGTGCATGTTCCTCCAGTTTGCCGTTGAAGCCCAAGACTCGAACGCAATGACTCTCATAAATACAACTCCTTGTCAGCTTAAGGTTACGTACGACCTTGGAGATAAACATAATGTATTCGCACCCAAAGCAAACGGAGACTTCCTCAAAATCAACAGGCCTTACCCATATGTAGTGAATATCACGGCCACTTGTGGGAACGAGACACAAGGCCCACTAAACTATAAGCCTGATTTCTCCCATCGTGCATCACGTGAAAAACTCATTATGCTCCGAGGGGACAACAAGGACATTCAGGTCATCGACGTACGTGTCGTCTTTAGTGGGGTCCACGAGATATCAATCTTATATATTTTAGTAATTTATTGTAAAAATTACTTAGGCATTAATAGGTAGTCATCCATAGTGAATTATATTACGCCGACACTGAGATGAATCTGCTCGATGCTTTCAGCTATGAAAAAAATTTGCGGCGGCTTATAAGAGGCGCTGAAATGCGTGTAAGCTAAGTAGCTGCAGTACGTATCGAAAAGGGAAGCAACATGACGCGAAACAGAAGTAATCTAGACACATCCGTGTCTAGATTTGTCAATCAGTACATCTCTTTTTAGATTTATGCCCCAGCAAAAAAAGAAATGCCATCTGCAAACTTGAAAATCTTCTCCATTTAACGAACGCTATTTACTATCTTTCCTTGTTAGAGCTGTTATTTAGAAGATGTAACACAATCATTGGAAGCGCCATCTAGTGGTCATTGTGAATATTTTATTATTTTGTATTAAAGTCATTTTAATGTGATTTATTCGGCTGAATAATATAGATCTTATGCACTCACTAGGGTGCCCACGACTTCGACAAGCATAGCTTAAGATACAATACTGACATTATTTATGTACTTTTGACTAAAAGCTACAAAGCATGATGTAGATAGTACCCGAATATTGACGAGAAATTTTTTTTACTATAAATTGACATCCAGTTACGTGAACGAACGTAAATTGAGGTAAAAGACAAATCAACTCTGCCAAACTCTGCCAGGGGTATATCAGTTAGTATTTTTGCTTTCAAAATAGTACATTCGTCTTTTTTTATACCAAATGTTTATACTGTTGTTCTTTGCTCACTGTCCTCTCTCATTAGATTCCTGAATTGGGTAAAGGTGACGCGATAGACGTGAAAGTCTTCGCCGATAGAGAACTGGATCTAGAACTGATCAGCAGTAATGATGAGCGATTTAATCTGACGCGTCAAGAGGAACCCGACCTTGGCGATCTACGATTCTACCGAGCGGAACTCCAATCTGATGAAACGTATGTCAAGTTTGTATTTCCATATATTTTTTTAAACATGAAAACATTCTAACACGTGTCCACTTTCTACTTCCTTTTATGGCCATTCGCTTTCCAGTAGTTTTGTAAACCACTTATTAGGAATAATCATTTTATTAGATGTATACATATCAACACAAATAATATATATATCTAT